TTTCCAAAACAATGTTGGCTTTTTAAATTTTTCGATAGTTGTTTATAACATGTCTCTTCATTGGTGTGTTGGGATTCATTCTAGTTGGAATTTGTTGAACTTCAAGACTTTGTCAATCCATTATTTTCTCCAAATGTGGGATGTTGTCACTATGATTAATTCAAATGAGCATTCTGAACGTGTCTGTTCTTTTTGTGCAATTGCTGTAATATACACATTGTCCTGCCCTCAGTAAAGAAAAAGTCTGTGAAACTCCATCAGGTTATCTTCATTATCTGTTCATTCTGATCTTCAGACACCGTAATGTTCACGAACCTGTCTTGATGTCTGCTCATTCTTCTTCCTCATTTGCTCTGCTTTAAAATAATTCTAGTAAAATTTTCAATATATTTCTTATGTTGCAGCTCCTGAATACATTTCATTTTTTTATGATAGTTTGTCTCTCTGTTGAAATTCACATTTTGTTTATGTATTTGTCTCTTGACTTTGTTTAGTTTACTACTTCTGTTTCCCGTCAGTTCACTGATTGTCTTTAAGACAGTGCTTTCAAATTTTTTTGAGGTAATTCTGACAACCTCATTTCTTGAGGGCCAGAGTTTAGAGAATTCTGTTTCTCACTTTATTTGACAGTGCTTTCCTGTCTTTTCCCGGGGCTTATAATCTTTCGTTGGATTCTGGTCATTGAACAGTCACGTCTCTTAGTGTTTAGAAACCAAGAGAGTCCTTTACTAATGAGCCTAGTAAAGGTTCTGGGGTCTCTCAGTTCTTTTCTGGAGTTACATCTTCTGGCCATATGCATGTGCTTTTACTCCAATATATGTGGATGCATATACATTTTTAAATTTTTTTCTAAGACACTTATTCTTGCTCCTTCTCACAAGCTTCAGTTTCTGCTGTGATTCAGTGCCCATCTTTTCTCTCTGTCTCCACCCTCCTAAGTCTCCTGGCACTACAGCCTATGTGCTTCTCCAGCCTGCCGCAGAGCCTGGTAGTATTTTTGGTAACCTTCAAGCTGATTTACAAACTATACCAGTGTTTCTTTCAAAAATCCCAGTGAAAAAAGACAGAATCCAGTTCATCAGGCAAATGCCAGAGAAGCCGGAACAATGAATGCAAGATTTACTCTTTTTTCCAAGAAGAAAACCATAAGAGAAGCATACTGCCCGGTGGTGGGGAGGAGGTGGGGCAGAAATGAGCAAATATCCACAAACTTGCCTTCCCATTCAGTTCAGTTTTCCATTGATGTTCATTGGATCCTGCAGCTTCCTTACTGGTTTTAAGACATTTTCCACATT